TCTGGGGTATTAGCTACTCTTCCTAATTTGGTGTCGTCTGCAAATTTGTGTTTGTTCTCGGCAGGTCTTCCAGGTCATGAAGGAAAGGCACAACATCTGCAAACAGCTGCACCTCCCTGTCCAGAGTGGAAGCACGCGCATCCTGGACGCCATGAGGAGAGGGTGAGTGAGAAGGAAATTTGGCCCATTTGGGAGAGAAACAGAAAATACAGAAAGCAGAGAGCATCCTGTAGAACCCATGAAAAAAGCATCTCTTTTGGCTGGATGTTGTGTTGGAGATTTTCAAATCAGATATTTCTGTGAACTCTGCTTTGACCCACTGAAGAAGGCCTTAAAACGGGTGGGAAATTGTGTGGGGGGGTCAAAGCCAATTTCTGCCATCCCCAGGCCACACTCCCTCACAGAAAGCCCAAATGCCTCCTTTTTATCCCAGCAATCTGTGTTCATTTGATAGTGGAAAGGGACATTGCCTCACTTCCTTTTTGAGACAGACTGAAGAGGAAAATGGAGGAGTCGTGAATAGTATTGGGGTTAGACTCAAATGAAGGAGGTTTAGAAGAAGGTCCTCTTTTAAGGAGTATAGGTCCCAGAATCCACCATCCCCTGCAACTAAATAGCCACTGAGCAAGCTGGCTGAAGGATTCTGGGATCTGTAATCTCAGATAGGTAAAATTTCCATTTTTTGGAAATTGGTCACTTATAACTTTAGCTTGTAGGCTGAACATACCATAGGTAAAACAAGATTAGACTCGGAGCAAAGAGGCATGAAAATTTGAGGAAGGAACATCAAGAATATAAGATGCACAGATGACACCATACTACTAGCAGAAAATAGCAAAGGCTCAGAATGATCACTTAAGAAAGTCAAGGAAGAAAGACCAAAGACAGGTTTGCAGTTGAACATTAAGGGGGAAAAAATGACCACAGATGATTTGTACAGCTTCAAAGCAGATGATGAAGACATTGAAATGGCTCAAAATTCCCCATCCCTTGGCTCATTCATTAATCAGAATGGAGGCTGCAGTCAAGATATTGGAAGAATAGCACTTTGAAGGGCACTATGAAGGAACTAGACAAGATCCTGAAGTGTCAGAATATATCATTGAATAGCAAAGTCAGGATAATTTATGCCAGGCATCGGCAAGGTTTACTTACCTGGGGCTGGTCGCTGGTCCCCAGGTCTTCTGCTGGGCTGGGGGGGGGGAGTGGCGGTGCGTGCGCTTGTGCGCGGCCTCTGCCAACCCCCACCACTGCCACGCATGACACACGCGCTGGTGGCGCAGTGGCAGCGCACGCACTGGTGGCGGGGGCCGGTCGGTGGGCCGGGTGCAGCCCGCGGGCCGTAGGTTGCCGATCCCTGGTTTATGCCATCATATTTCCAATTTCTATGTAATGGCTGTGAAAACTGGACAGTGAAGAAAGTTGAGAAGAAGAAAAATCAACTGTGAATACCATGGACTGCTAAGAAGACAAGCAAATGGGTACTAGAGCAAATCAAGTTTAAACTTTCTCTAGAAGCCAAGATGATTAAACAGAAACTAGCATACTTTGGCCATACCAAGAGAAGAGATAACTGACTAGAAAGGACGATAATGCTTAGTAAGGTAGAAGAAGGCAGTAGGAAGAGAGGAAGACTTCATTGCAGATGGATGGACTCAATTTAAGAGGCCATAGCTGCTGCCCAAAGTTTGAAGGACCTAAGGAGAGCTGAGGATGATGAGGGGACTTGGAGATCTCCGATTCGTATGCTTGACATAAGCCAAAGTCAACTTGACAACAGTGAAGGGCATCTGAGTTGCTTCTGGGAGTGAGTGTGGGCTTGTGGGTATGAAGTATTTTTGCTTCTTTCACATGTTTGATAGGCTTCTGCATGGTTTAGGCCAAAAAAGTGTCTAAAAATAGTGCATATTTTAAAAATGAAGTGCTTTGAGCAACTGCTGGGGGGCTTCGGGAACCACAAAAGTAAGGCCCAGAGGGCACACTTTTCCCAACTTGTCTTAAAATATTAAAAGTCTGAAACATGCTGGACTATTTAACTATAGCATGTCACGTGAGCACATATGTATATGCCCTTCATTCACAAACTACTGGGGGCAAAACAGAACATACATTTTCGTTTATACCTTTCTATATTTATCTATGGAATTTCCCATGGCAATATTATGTAGCCATAGGGCATTGTTACTCATTTATGATCAAGCTGTCATGAGAACGTTTGCCCCTAGTTCATCTAGAAAGGAAAAGTTTAAAACTCACATACACTCACAGTGTTGCAGTAAGGAGTGTGCATTACACTTGTGAAATGGTGCTTCTTGGCTTTGGTTTTGTGTGTCCAGAGTATGCCATGTTTAAATGTATAACCAACTCTCTGTATCCACAGATTCTGCATCCATGCATTGAAGCAACCATGGTTTGGAAATATTCATCCCGTCTCAAAACCCCCTCCAATTTTGTCATTTTCTGCCCATTTTACTATGCTGTTCTACACAATGGGACTCGAGCATCCATGGATTTTGGTATCCATGAAGGGTCCTGGAACCAAACCCCAATGGATAGCAAGGACCCTCTGCATGTGTTTATGTATCACCATGAACATGTCCATTTCTGCTGTCTAACTCTGCCTGTTCTTCTCAGGTATACACGGGAAGCTTACTTGGAGCTGGTACACCATGTCCGGGAGTCTTTACCAGGTAGATTGCTACCCGTGGCAGCTGCTACAGTATCTGATACACCTCTCTGACTACAAGGTTATCTTCATGAACCTTCAGCTTGCTTGCTTGTTTGCTTATTTATTTCAATAATTGTTTTTGTTGTGTACCCTCATTCATTTCTGGCTTATGGCCACCCTAAGACAAACCTATCATGGAGTTTTCTTGGCAAGATTTGTTCAGAGGAGATTTGCCTTTGCCTTCCTCTGAAGCTGAGGACATGTGATGGGCCCAAGGTTACTCAGTGGTTTTCCATGGTCGAGTGGGGATTTGAACCCTGCGGTCTCCAAGAGTCCTAATCCAATGGGCTCTTTATATTCTGCCTTATATCCAAAGGTCTCAGGATGGTTTACAACAATTTACAACAGTCAGTAATAGCTGATCCTGCCTGCTCATGTTGAAGCACAGAATGTCTGTTTGAGGCAGCTTTGGGGCATTAAAGTAGATGTGTGGGGTGTGGTAGCATAAGACCTGTGTGTGGACTGTAACGCCATGCTGAGTAGATGTTGAATTGAGGTCCATGCATTTAAGCAAACACAATGCAACTGTTTGTTATTCCTTTTCATCTCTGTTTTGGCTTTCTGTGGGGCAGGCGTGACCCTCAGCAGTGATATCATTGCCGGTTTCTGTGGGGAGACAGAAGCTGACCACCAGCAGACCGTGTCCCTCGTTCGTGAGGTCCGCTACAATACAGCCTTCATTTTTGCCTACAGTGAGCGCCAGGTAGGAACTCAGTCCATGTAACACCTGCTACATCTGTTACACCCCATTCAGGTGGCTATGGGGTGGGCATGTGATAGGCTGCGTTCACAGTTCAGAGGTTGCCATAATCCAGTTTTGAGCTCTTACAACACAAGGGAGCAGTGTTCACACCACAGCCTTAAATCAGATTGATATCCATATAAGTGGGAGTTTGTAGTCCTGGTGCAATTAAGCCAATTTCCACATAGAGGTAAAAAGAATTTATAGCTTATTTGCTGCAGAGAATAGGTATCAGTGGTCTCACAACCCAAAAGACTGACACAAAGGAAAGAAATATGTTAATTACACAGCATCCTGTCTCTATGTAGACATAGTGTCACAAATTAACAGA